ATCTCAGGCATCACTGCTTCTCTGGGTAGGGTCCCGCTCTCCGCTCTTCTCACTAGATGGTCCCAGGGACCTCCACTCCTAGACTGGAAAGTTAATCACTCCCTTCCTTGCCATAAAACAGAACTTTTTTATATAGGAGCCTTGCCCAAGTACTATAAAATTTCTACATATGCCCAAAGATAAAAGAAACATACCTCTTCTATAAAAGTGAAATACAACTGATAATGTGAACAATCGTAAGTAAATTTTCTTTGAGTTCACATATCTTTGAATTCAGATTTAATTATTCAATTAAACCTTCAGCTATCAGGACTCAGTTACAGCTGAGTCTAATTATAGTCCTAAAAACTGTTCATGATCAGTATCACTGAAACTCATGGGCTGCTCAAAAACTGAACTCTTAACTGGAAAGAGAATTATATTTCTGATGTTGTTGTTATGTGCTGGGGAGTCAGTTCCAACTCACAGCAACCCTATACAGGGTTTCCAAAGCTGTAAATCTTTATGGGAGCAGAAAGCCTCATCTTTCTCCCACAGAACAGCTGGTAGTTTTGAACTGCTAAAAGTGAGGTTAGCAGCCCAATTCATAACCAATACCCTACCAGAGCTCCTTTTATTTCTGATAAGTCCTCACAAATCCCCACACCATCTCCACTTGAAATCTCATTTGACTAATAATAGAGAAAAGTAACAAAACAATTCTAGGAGCTAGTAAAAGAAGAAGAAAAGAAAAGAAAAAAACCAGGTATCTTGTCCATTCTAAACAAAGTCGCCCCTCAATTTGGAAGCTGCCAGTTTTGTGCCAGCCAACAAGAAAATGTCACTCCTTACAATAATAATGGTAACAGCATAATTGTTAAATACCTTTCCTCTCTAAAAATACCAGATAATCCTTGTCATTTGTTTCCTTTTCCTTATTGTCAGGTGACAAGAAAACAGAATCCTTCTGAATTTTACAAAACTTCTTATCCTTAATTGAAGGATAACACTATTTGTTATCTTTTTGTGCAAGTCTATGCCGAGTGGACAAAGCTGTAAATTGTTTCCCAAATTCATATTCTATACTTGGGAAGCATAGCACAATGGAAAGGCTCTAAGAAATGGCAGTATAAAATGATCACCATGCTACAGAGTTGTTACTCCACATTGACAGCAAATCAGAAGTAATTTTCTATCTAAATCAGAGCTTAATTCATTAGCCCACATTACTTCACAAGTTCAATCCAATTTCTCAAAATGCAGTAACACAATCTTACAACCTAATTATCTTCATTGAAAGTATTTAGAAGCATTTGCTGAGACACTTTCTCTCTGTGTCAGACAGGATCAGCACCAAGTGAACAACTTGAGTAGGTTGTTCATTTCAGAGGTTGACTTCTTAGAAAATAATCTCTTCTTGTAAGGGAAAAATTTCCCCCAGAGTGGACACCAAAGGGTAGCTCCCAGTACCTTAAATACAGGTTTAATTAAATGTCTAGCTATTTACAATTGGATTTAAAAAAACATATTCTCAAAAACATAGTTCAGTATGAATATTATAATCATGATACTTCTACAATAGTTTTTTAATCAACTGAGAGAAGTTTAGGGCTCAGATGTGAAACTTTTAAAAACAGAATGAGAGGTATTCTGTAATGGAAATTCCATCCCATAGCACTGCCACTTAGCAAAATCATAGTTATTTTCCTCAAACTAATCATGAGGAAAAGGTTTGTTTTGAAGACATTTCAGTAGCTCATCCATCAAAACCCCCTAAATTTTAGTCCCCAAACAGCTCTTTTCCATTTCCTCTTGACCACTGGAAGGAGAAATCAACCCACATTTTAAAAACACCATTTTGTTACTGTGTGTGTTGTGTAACTATGAGAAAATACCTTTGGCAAACATTTGGGGGGGACAAATGTGTAAGAACTTCGTATTCTTCAGCCTACTCTCAACTCTTAAGTTTTACTTCAATTATTTCCTCACTTGTAAAATTCATTGCTGCTGTCAGGCCTTTGCTTTGCGAGGTAACCAGTTTTCTTCTAATGTTGTTCACAAAACTCATTTAGCTCCTGCCCTAGGCCAATAACAAATCTCCTTTGCCAGCTGCACAGTTTAATCGCTTAAATTTCTAAAGTAAATGGCATCCGTTGCTCCTTTGAAAACCAGTTCTGGCAGTGATTAAAGGAAACGAAACAGTCAAAGAGCTTTAAATATGCAACATCAGAATTCATGTGTCATATATAAACAGTGTAATGGATAATGAAGGGAAATACCCAAATCGTAGAATCCAGTTTGGGCAATGTGATTACTGAGATACTTAAAGATGGGGAGTCAATTAACAGGTATATTATTTGTTTTATATCTGTTATGAGGCATTTATGAGCAAGTATAGACAGCATTGTTATTCAGCACTCATGAACTAAAATCATCACACATAACCCATGTTCAAATGCAATGAACTTACCTTATAAACCTGTCCATATGTTCCATTTCCAACAAGTTCCACCAATTCAAAGATCCCTGCAGGGTCCTGAAACAAATTAAACACAAAAAAACTCAAAACTATGTTCCAGGCCTGGTTTGAATCAAAAGGAAATATGATTTTAAATAAACAAATAAGTAATAAATTTCCCTTTTGGGGTCTCTTATGTGTTAAAAATAAAAACTATGAGAAATTAAATTTTAATTCAGCTACAATCACGACAACAGGAATTCAATTTGTTTTTATATCTTGTTTAAAACAGACAAAAGAAACAAGAAGAACGGACACATTTCTCATGTCAGAGGAAAACGCATTTGCCAGTACATCAAAGATAAAATGAAGACTCATCATACTACAAGGCTTAATTTTTCAGATATTTCTTTTTGAATTTTCCAAGTTGCTTGTTGTGTTAAATGCAGGCAAAGTGAAGAATGGATGCTGTATTGTGGAGTAATCTTACCTAATAAACTCAATAGTTTCCTACGGAATCAGCAGGCCTACCCCCTCAGAATGTTTCTCTTTAGATTCACCACTACCATCACCTCAGCAAAACACACTTGTTCATGCTGACCTCCAGTTCAGTAAGTTAACTGCAAGATTTAGATGGAAAACTAAACTGGAGATAAATTTAAGATCTTACCACCAAATAATTATCTGCTAACTAACCCTCAGACTCAACTAAACATTAGGGTGTTCAACTGGACCAATAAATAACATTCTTAGCAGTGGAGAAAAGATTGAAGTTGTCAAGGACTTCATTATTCTTGGATCAACTATCAACACTCATGGAAGCAGCAGTCAAGAAATCAAATGACATATTGCATTAGGCAAATCTGCTGTACAAGACCTTTTTAAAGTGTTGAAGAGCAAAGATGTCAGCTTGAGGACTAAGGTGCGCCTGACCCAAGCCATGGTATTTTCAGTAACCTCATATGCATGCAAAAGCTAGACAGTGAATAAGGAAGACCAGAGAAGAATTGATGCTTTTGAGTTATGGTGTTGGAGTAGAATATTGAAAGTGCCATAGGCTGCCAAAAGAACCAATAAATCTGTTTTGAAAGTGCAGCCAGAGTGCTCCTTGAAAGCCAGGATGGCCAAACCTCATCTTTCACACTTTGGACATATTGTCAGGAGGGACCAGTCACTGGAGAAGGATATCATGTTTGGTAAGGTAGAGGGTCGGAGAAAAAGAGTAAGACCCCAACGAGATGGATTGGCCAAGTGGAAGCACCAATGGATGCGTGGCAACAGTAGTGAGGTTGGCCCAGGATCGGGCAGTGTTTTGTTCCGCTGTGCTATGAGTCGGTACTGACTCGATGGCACAGAACAACAACAACACTACTATTATTATTACTGATTTATATCCCAAAGAGTTAGGCTAAAGCCTATAAATTCAACTCAGAGGTAAAAATGAACCTTTACTCCTACCAAATGTTCCTCGGAAACCCTACACAGGGTCAAGATGAGCTGGAACCGACTCAATGGCACTTAACAAAAACAACAATCAACATAGGAGCCCTGGTGGCAATGGACTGTTAATCACAATTTGGAAGTTCAAACCTTAGATAAAAGATGAGGTTGAGTTGGAATCAACTCAACAGTGGGTTTGGTTTCTTGGTTTTGATGGAAGCTTCATTGGGCAGAATTTTTTTTTTTTTTTTAAAGATCTAACTTGAGACTCATTAGCTCAAATGTCCAGAGAGTCCAGGCAAGTAACATAAATGAATGAAAGGGCCTCAGGTAGGTGAAAGTTGCAACAAACTGAGGAAGGCAGGCTTCCTTCAGAGGAGAGAGAAGGATAATGCGTACTTTATTTAGCTGCAGCCAGTAGTTCTGTATCAATACATAAGCACAATATTGCAAGATTAAATGTTTGTCAAAAAAATTGAGCATTTTGTTTAATGTAAGATAAACCATAGCGTTACCAAGAATTAGAGCTGACTTGATGGCACTAGGTTTTTATCTCTAGTCAACACTTAGATGAATGTACTGCCCTATGCTGTTATGGTGGCCAATGAATAGTTTGAACTTTGGATTCACATGGCCCTGGCTTTGCCCCTGGTTCTGAAAAAGGATAGCTCTTGGGAAGAAGAAATGAGGTCCTAACACAGTGCCTTGCACATAGTTGGCAATCTACTTTAATACTTAAAATAATCATCTTGAAGTTGACTAATTTCACACCTTAAGGAGCATTTAACAGCAGGGAGCAAACCCCCTCTGCTATTCATGCAGAGGAGACAAATGAGTTCAAGGTTGACAAGATAGAATTTTTACAGATGAAAAGTACATTAAGACCAAGAAAAGTCCTCTGCTATGTGTCTTTGAAGATCCTACACTGAAAACAAATACAAAATAAAATAAGATAAAACCAAGGTGAGGTTGGGGACAGATTAAGCATTTTAGTCATCGAGAAACATTAGAGCTAGCACTGACCATGTTTTACAAAGTTAGAAGGGCAAGAACCACCATTCTCCAGACACGTGTCCTGATAAATCAGGAAGTGCAGAAGTTACAACTATGCCCCACCTGGCCAGTGAGGTGGGACAGGTGTTCTGGATATAGTCTTCAGACAAAAAGACACTATTTAGAGAACAAGAGCTCTTAGTTGGCCAAGAACTCGTAGGTTAAGAGACACTGTCAAGGCCACCTGGGAGGTGTCAGGATAAGAAAGAAGAATTTTGCTTGTTAAACTACTAGGCCATTTGAGCAGCAGGCTTATTACAAACGGAATTAGAAAGAAATGAGAAAAGGGAGAGGTGGGGGGGCGGGAAGAGCCCATAAATGGTGGCAGCTGCTGTTTGTTTCTATGCTGTGCTTCCTAGTAGTTTGTTTGCTCAGTGGTGTGTCTGCAACAAATTTGAAGACAGCTTCTACATTTGCTTGAAATATCTCAATTGTGTCTGCAACAGCCTTGACTAGCAAAAATAAGAAAGAAAGAAAGTGCAGGGTAGTAAATACTAGCTGCCAAAAGGAGCCAGAGAAACATCACAGAGGCATTAGAGAGAGGAGGGCAGGGACAGAGCCAGGGGGGCAGGGAAGGAGTCAGTCATCCCACCTCATGGATCTCTTCTTGGGACTGGGTTTCTGCAGGCACTGGGCAGTTGACTTCTGAGGCTCTGTCCTCTCCTTGAAAAATCTATTAGTAAGCACACAGAGGAGCAACTCTCGGACTTTTGTCCCAACTGCTGGAAAAGAAAGTCTCTTTATGCAGGGAAATTCAAAGAACTCAGGGCAAAGAATAAAAGGTCCATGGAACTAAAGACCGATAGTGGCCAGCATTCAGTAGACAACCAAACTGAAAACAATCATTGACTTAGGTTACTTCCCTAGGGAAAAGACTGAGAATCTCTGAGATCTGCACACATAGAGTTTGTTGGAAGCAACACTTATCAAGGGAGTGAAGGAAGCAGGTCTGAATAGAAGGAAGAGTGCATTCAATATAATGGAAACATCATTTGACCTCCCAGGGAGCTCTGGAGCAAGGACAAGGCTTCATAGTTGTCCAACCTTGAGATTCCTTTATACTTCACTTCCACTGACTAGTTCGTTGGAAGTAGGAAAGCAGGCTGTCCTTATTTTCCACCCCAGAGGTTATGATCATGGATGAATGTACACTCCTCAGATGAGGATAATTCCAAGAGAAGAATTTGGGTGAGAGACATCACTAGCTGCCTACACTTCCAACAGGTGGATTAATGAATGCCTCAGACCTAGGGAAGGAGTCTGGGTGACACATCACAGTATCCACTACAAGCACATCATGGCTAGAAATGAGTTTGGAATTAGAAGTGAAGACTATAAGAATATATATTCTACAGTGTGCTGACAGTAATGAGAAGTAGCTATATGTAGGGTGGGAGCCATCTGAGACTATAGAAAAGAGGCAGAGCTATTGATCATGGACCCCTCAGTACTGACCCTTACCTCCAATCAGATCCAAATGCCATCAATTATTGTCACTCACGGTAGTCGGGCTCTATAAAGTTACTGCAAACACTGAACTAGTGAATACTGATCTACTACTCATCAATTAAATATAGGATTAGGTTCCTGGGAGCCTTTGGTTAGAAACATTTTGTCAACAGATCAATGTATAATATTATTTTATGTGTGATTTTGTTTAAAGACACCTTGCTGCTGTTGCTAATGGCCATTGAGTTGGTTCCAACTCATAACAAACTTGTATGGGGTTTCTGAGGAGCAGTTGGTAGGTTTGAACCAACAACGTTGCTTACTCAGTATATACTGTTGATTCATTAACATTGAACTCATGGACAACAACACCATAGGTCATGCGCAGTGAAGCTTACCTAATGCACGTATTCTTTCTGTAAGGCACATCATAAACTTCTTCTATTTAGGAACACACAAAAAGCAAGTAAGCATCACTCTTGAGGCCATTTTAAACAGTAAAACCAGCAACAAAATGTACAAAAATGAGAAAAACATGGTAGTCAGTAGGTTGCAAAAAAGAATACTTGTTTACAGTTTAAGAACTGAAACAAGAAGCAAAGTGTTGCCTTGTTTTTGATCTTAACTGAAAACCTACATGTCAGTGAGTGAGATTTTTTTTTTGCTATTCCACACAAATCGGCAAAGGACCACAAAAAGTGCTCTGAATATTGAACTCACTAATTTCCTGAGTCGCAGTACCCTCCCCACTCCTAGGGATATGAAATGAGCCAGAAGCTTCCACAGTGGAATTACTACTGCAACTGACAAAATGCCAACACCAGCCAACTCTACTTCATCATCAAAGTACATTTTTATGATTTGTATATTTTTTACATATGTATTAGAATATTATCTATATGTCTCTATGTAATGTTTCCAAGCCCCAAAGACAAGTAAAGAGTGGATTAATAAAGATGCTGATAATAAAATGCAATAAGGAATATTAAAAAAACAACAACAACAACAACAAAAAACTTACTGAACTTAAGTCCTAATCAACTCATGATGGAGTCATCAGAACAGAATCCTAATGTAGTCAAGGGCTACCTGACTATCCCTAGACCCCCTCATTTTGCTCACTATATGTTGATCAT